ATATGCATCTTTTAATACTTCAACTACATTTAAAAACTGAAAAACATCTGAAGTGTAAAATTATTACAAATTTTTCTTTTTCTTGTTTAGGAGCTGTTCTCAAAACATTGGGTGACAAAGAATTCACTTCTACAAAAATCGAGCAGGATATTAAAGACAGCGAAATACAGAACAAATATGGTGAAGCTGAATGAAATATATGTTGAATTTTATTATTGAAAAAAAATTATGCTCTTCAGATTTAATGTTAGTTTTTATTGTTTAAACAGTAATTGCAGTTTTTCGAATACCTGTAAAATAAACCTAATTCTTAAATTAATTTCATGTGTATTTCTTTTGCAAGTATTACAGTTCATAATACTTCAAACAACTTGAAATTTTATACTTGTTAATTTATGTGGGATATGTTCATTATAATTTTATAATTTAAATAACTCATTGTCATCATATGAGCATAATCTAAAGTGTACAGCATTTGACAACAAATTAATAAAAAATTAGCCAACTTCTAATTTCTTTCTTTTGCCCAGTTGCCTCTTTTTAAATCTAATACCATAAAGCTATTTGATGAAAAAAAAATAATTGGTATGTCCACATCAACATGTACATTTATAATGATGTTATAGAAAAAGTCACATGAGATAAATATTTAAAAACTTCAATATTCCTAAACAAATTTAACTTTTTAAAATTTTATCTGGTATATAAGATAAAATAAAGAACATATTTAGGTAATTTTGAATTTGCATAATTTTATGAACTTATTTATGAAATTAACAGTTACATTGTAAAAGGGAACTTTTTAAAAATACCTCAATAAAGCATTTCTTTTGTAGAGGTGAACTTTTAGTACTGATCTAATATATTATAAGATTTTAAACTGAGAAAGACAACAATAATAGATTACAATACATTGCAAGATTGACTGATAAATGTAAAATTTTTACATATTCATAATTATGTGTGTAATTAAAACAGGAAGTTACTCGATTAACTTGCATGCAAATTAATATATTTTCTTTAACATGTTTTGGGATAAACTTAATAAATAAATATGTATATATTTGTGTATTATCTGAAGATATGAATGCAATATTTGTGACATTAAACATTCATCTTCAAGGAAAATAACCAAAAAGTAAACTTCGTAACTATTGGAAAAGGTAAGTTTTCTACAATATCCCTCCTAATTTGTATTTAACAATTTTAAAATTTAGCACACTCATTCAAATAATCTAAATGTATGATGTTTTCTTTTGCGCTACAGTCGTTTACTGAATTTGGTAATTAACTATATTGTACTTTAGATAGAAATTAACGTAGATATTCCCTGTATTTTATGGTACAAAAACTTATATATTTGATAATAATTGACCTAAATCTTCCCTATGTTTTCTTTGCATATGCGAATGACTTTGGTAAAAATTTAGTCCGATGTCTTCTCCTCTTTACTGTGTATAAGTGCACATTTTTGGTAAAAAATTTGCATAAATCTCCAATTACCTTTTTACTGCATTTTTCGTAAAATGTGCTTATTTTAATCTCGTATTTTTATATAAATCTATGCAAAAAATGTTTGCATATTATGATTAAAAGATAAAATTAATTTAATATCAAATTTTACATATCCACCTTTTAGGTTATGTACAGCAATATGGAATATATATAACTGGAAAATTTAAATGCACTAGTAAATGCGAAGGGGGGAAAAAATAAAATTTCTATTAAAAAATTACGTAACACTTAAAGGCTGGAAATCACTTTTCATATTTCATTTCAAAGTGACTACAAAATATGCAATAAATTTTGTAAACCTGAGTTCTATGTTTTAAATCAATTAATGCTATCATTCATTTACATGGCATAAAAAATGTCCTTCGGAAAAGCAAATAATTTATTTAAAGTGTTATTTAGTAATAATGAATTTAGTAAACAACTGTTTGCTACAGTTTTTTACTAAATTTAAATTTATGAAATGAATTTAGTAAACAAAAATGCAAATGAACGATAGCATTAATTGATTTAAAACACAGAATTGATGTTTACGAAATTTATTGCATATTTTGTAGTCACTTTGAAATGAAATATTAAAAGTGATTTTCAGCCTTTAAGTGTTACGTAATTTTTGAATAGAATTTTTTTTTTTTTTTTTTTTCATTTACTAGTGCATTTAAATTTTCCAGTTATATATATTCCATATTGCTGTACATAACTAAAAGGCAGATATGTAAGAATTTGATATAAAAATGACATTTTACCTTTTAATCATAGCATGCAGAAAGTTTTTGCATAGATTTATATAAAAAATAAGAGATTGAAATAAGTACATTTTTACGAAAAATACAGTAAAAAGGTAATTGGAGATTTATGCAAATTTTTTGTACATTTATACACAGTAAAGCGGAAAAGACATAGGGAAGATTTAGGTCAATTACTATCAAATATATACATTTTTGTACCGTAAAATACGGGGAATATCTACCTTAATTTCTACCTAATATATACGTTTATATACAATAAAAATTCGGGGAGATTTACGTAAATTTTTACTAAATATATATGCATACATGAAGCAAAAAATTGAGATTATTATATGCGATAAATATACGTAAATTTTTACTAGAAATATACATAAATCCCAGAAATTTACGTATATTATACGTAAAAGTTGCGAATGAACAGCAGTCTCTCGCGTAAATATACCTAAATTTTACGTAAAAGTTACGTATAGTATAACGTAAAAATATACGTAAATATTTAGTAATTGCCACTGGACACTTTTTATGATATTTTTACGTTTAACTTGAAAGTTTTTTTATACGAAAGGCCATTCGTAAATTGCATGTATTTTTCTCGTGCAATTTACGAATGCATGCTGCCTGGGTGTAGACCATTAAAAAATATGTATGCATTCATTCTTCTACTCATTTGATGGACGTTACAAATCGCCAATAAAAAGGCAATTGGATTTAAAAATTTGTCAAACACTTCAAGAACATTCTGGACAAGTTGCTTAAAATGCAACTTGTCCAACCATGGATAAACAATCTGTTATGAGTCTGTGTTTGTTTGCAGGATGCATTATTGCAGGAAAGGGTGAGAGGTCCTGTTTATCCAGTTTAGTTTTATCTGTCTTTGTAGTTTTCATTTATTCAGATCCTTAAAAAAGTTGTAGAGTTAAAATAATTTCACTTATGGGCACAATTACCAAATCCTTCAAAAATTAATCAATTAGTAGGATGTGTTTCTGGTAACTACAACTGGTAATGAAGCCTCCTGTATACTTACTCCCTTATATATTTGCTTAATTTTATCACATATGCTGATGTACCTTAAAGCTATTTGAAGAAGTTATATTAGATCATGTTTAATTTAATCCTTTCATTCTTCAATTGTTAAAATTTTTTCAGACAATAAAGCAAATACTGCATCGTGTACAGATTCCAATCCTCTAATTGTAGCCATTCCTTGCTTATTTCACCTTTTATTCCTCTATTGACTTGTTGCGTTTCATCATGGAGAATGACAAAAATCTTACAAACTTTCATCATATTTATCTTTAGCTTGAATTTGCTTATATTTTCAAAATTTGATCATTAGAAAAAATTTCAAGATGACTGAATGCTGTTTATTATATCTTCAATGAAAAAAAAAAAATTCTGCTTTATATAAGCCAGGATTCTTTCAGTCATAATTTATACAAAGCATAACTTCATTCCAAGACTTGGTACTATATTACTTTGAATTTAAGCTGTTTTCGTAATTCAAATTTTTAAGTCAAAAATTGGGTGAAGGTTAAATTCAAAACTCATATTTTAACTCCTTATTTATCTCAATCTCCCATGATTTTGAAAAGATATCTATCTCTAAGAATATTATCAAAAAAGCTTGACAATTCAAGTTTTGAAAGTTAAGATGTTGAAATTGATAGTAAACATAGAGAAGATTCTCAAATAGTTATTACATTTTGATTACAACATATTTAAGTAAATAGAAATACTTGTTTTTCTATACCTATTATAAAAGTCATTATAATTTTTTATTATTTTTCCTGTTTTTAAGATCTTATTGGTGTTAAATTTAAGAACAGTTATTTTTTTACTATTTGTTCCAACTTTAAAATCCTACTGCAACTATTTGTTAACTCAATAAATCCTCCCTCAGAATCACAAATTTTTCATCTTTGTGATCCAGTCTCAAGCTCTTTTCTGACGGGATGAAGCACCATTAATTTGCAAATGAATGGTTGGGAGTTCGGTGTAGGTGTTGTCTATTTACATTAATAAGATCTTATTAAAATGATAGGTATTTTGAATTTTAAATTTTAATAGAGTACATTTTATAGCAATAATAATTATTTTTACATAGACTAATAATAATTATTTTATTTAACATCACAGGAAAAACGTTCTATGTAAAATTGCTAAATATTTTGGAATTTTACTATCTTATGTTAAATGGATTTATTCTAATATTCACCTTTGAAATTATACTGTAATATACTGAACTTTTACTGTATATATATTTGGATTAAACCATACGCAATTTAAATTACGTTATGCATTTATAAATTTAATAAAGTACAGAAGTAGTTTATTGTAAAATTTTAAGTAGTCTCTTTTGATTCAGACCAAAATAATATAAAATTTATGATATAGTGCATTTAACAATATCATCCTCAATGTTTTAAACAAATGATGAATTTGAACCTTTTAAGAAGTACATTTTTAGTACCAACTATTATCTATATAATGTTTTGCTTTTCAGCAGTTATAGTGAAGTTTGTTTTCTTGAGTAATTAAAAATTCAAGGATAAATTTTTATATAAATAAATGATGCATTACTTTGCCCAGCATTTTAACTAATTTCATTTTTATAAATTTTTATCTAAAAGTTATACTGTAAAAGTTTCATTTTTTAAATGTTTTTCCTATTAAAAATAACACCAATACAATATTTAAAATATTTCTTGTTAATAAATAAATGTAAATACATTCGCATTTCACAAGGTGTTATTTGTAATTTTTCAATTTTTTTTTTATAAATACATGCTTGCAAAAATGTATAAATACTAATTTTCATTTATTATTAAACTGGGGATTTTTCACTAATATTCTTATCTAAATCTTTCAGAGATTTTATCCTGTGATACTCTGCTATCATTTCTAATTGCCGAACTCTTGTATATGCAGCAGAACCTAATAATACAACAGTATTGCTTATCCACCATAACATAGATTTCTCTTCCTGAAACCATGCAACAGCAGCAACAGTTTGAGCACATGCTTTAGCTGTTCCACTGATATTATGAGTAAGAGGTGACGTCACCTGCAAAAATTAAAATACTTTCAAATCTTCTTTCGATATAAAAGTCTAATGACATATATTCTTTACAAAAATTAAATTTAATCATTTCCCCCTTCTTTTGATTTTGAAATGGTATATATGATAGATAGTATGCATATGCCTGATAAGGAAAAAACAAAGCTGACTAGTGTTCTTATTTGATAAAACAGAACTTTATTTAAAGAATCTGAATATCTCTGCCCATCGTTCAAATGATATATTGCGAGCATAATTAGTAATGTCTAGAAAATAATGAAATTCAATTATTATTCAATAATCAGAAATAATAATATAGCTATAATAAGCAGAAAGACAAAACGCATTAACTGTTAAGATACATGCATTTTCATACAACAGCTTACTTTTATAGTTAGCCCATTTCAAATTTTTTGTTTTAACTTATGGTAGTTATGCATGCATTTTAATTGCATGTATTATTAAGAAATATCTAATTTTTAAAACTGATTAACAGTTATAAATTTGTGCTTAACATTATGACCATTCACTTCAGATGATAAAAAGAAATTATATGATCTATCCTCAGTTTGGGTGGCATTGAACCCAAATCAGACATTTAAACATAAAATTCTTAAGGAAGGGGGATTCTAGAATTTGCCAACAAGTGATGTGAAATGCACAGCTATGATGATTCTAACAGGGGGGGAGGGATAACAAAAATGTGAAAAAAAGTCTTAAATTTGTTCCAAATACAATTCGGAAGTCAAACAACAAAAATCAGCGTTATATTTGCGGTTTTGCAGCTGAGGATTGACTCAAACAAGGAAAGAAGATGCTTTACGAGAGCTTGGGGAAATGCTCTGCATGCCTTACCATCAAACCTTTCAGTTCCAGCATTTATTGTCTCAAGCAAAAATTTTTTTTTTTTTTTTTTTTTTTTTTTTAAGAAATTATTGTATCACATACTTATTAAATGGTAGTAAAAATCCTTTCAATTAACATTTATTTCATTTTCCTCTTTTAATTGCAACAATTTTTGGATTTGTTTAAATTACAGTTCTCTCAATCTCAATTATACCCAACACATTTTTTTCCATAGACAGTTAATTTTGTGAAAGATTTTGCTATACGAACAATATATTAATGACATAACCTTTATATTCGATGAAGGTTTACTGTATTTCAAGGCTGAGAAAACTAAAGAAGAATTCAAACATAAATAAATATCATCTATCCATATCTGTGCCCCTCCTTCTCTACCACTGATCTTTTCAAAAGGACTTCAATCATATGCTTACAAATATTCATAAACTTGAACCCAAGTTGCAGTCAACCACCCATGTTATTTAGAATGGTTCATATTATTACAAAACAATACACACATGATTACAATATATCACTAAGGATATATGTAGATACGTACAAACTTACTTTAATTTGAAGACCAGTTACGTATCCAATCGCAAAACCAAACGTTCCTCCAATAATCATTAATGTCCAAAAATTGATATCACCAAGTAGCTTAAAATCAAATACAGTCTTCACCTCACCAAATAGTAACATCAAAGGTAGAAATAATGCAATTGCATTAATGTTGTTGTAATAAGTCAATCTCCATATACTTCCTTCTACAACTGGAAGAATTTTCTTCATATAAATGGAATATAGTGAAACAAAAAAACTTGCTAGAACACCGTAAATTACACCTTTAACAGATAAGGAACCTGAAAAAGTTCATAGCTATTATTATACAAAACAAAAATTCTTGAAAATGATTAACATTCACAATATTTATAAAAATTATTAATTTATACAAATCCATTATTTTTTTACATATTATATCAAAAAATTTATAATTTTCATATTCTGTAGGGTTTTATTTAAATATCCAGTTATTTTTAAGCTGATTCTTTTCTGCTTTTCACCAGAAAGCAAAATTACAGAAAATTTAAATTCCATATGCAATTATTATTAAGCTTGGAATGACAGTATTTCTAGGGGTGACTGTGATCCCATTTCAAAAAATTCTAAAATCTATACATGGCAGCAATCTAACCTAAGAATACATACAAGGCTATGATGACCAAATCACAGTTTTTCAAGTTATCTATATGCAGCAGCCATTCTCAGAGGTTTGTCTTCTTCGATGTGTGTAAACCTTTGGCAGTCATTTTCCAAATTTGGTGAGTTTAATCAGCAAAAGTATTTCTTTTATTTTGGGGGGGAGGGGGTTGTACAATGAAGAAATTGACATTCTAGAACAAACAAATGGATTCTTTGTTTTAACCATATTTTACAGCAAATCATGTAACATTTTTGAAATTTAACTCATTGGTCAATTTGCAATATTGAAAATTGAAATGTTATTTAAATCGAAAGCATATTCTTTGCACAGGGATTGGAATATTATCTTTTCCGAAATTAAAAGTGCCTGAATCCTATACAGTCAAAAGTCTTTAATCTGGACTCATCGGGACTTCGGAGATTCCGGATTATAGATCATCAATTTAAATCTGGTAAGACGGCATGCAGAAATTATAAAATAAAAAAAATGAAACCGTAATTTATGAAATAAAGAGCAATTATGATCTAAAGGGTATAAAGATTTACAAAAAAAAAAAAACTTAATATTTATTCGTTTACTTTATCAAACATTTCTTTCAATGCATGCATGCGTAAAGCATACATTACGCATAGTCGAAATTAGAAAATTGCAACCAGAAAACTATTTGACGTGTATTCGTGATATTTATAATGACGAGGAATTTGATTTAAATCATATCAAAGACAGAATACATCGAGATAAAATACTATATTTAGTAAGGAATTATAACCCAAATAAAATAAAAAGATCTGCTCTGAAGATAAGGATAGTGCTGACAGATCAACTTCCAGTTTATTGCACGCCTCGTCGTTTCCCCCCATTCCCGCAGAGCATAGTTGAAATTGATAAACAGATTTCGGAATAGTTAGAAAAACAAAGGATTTGCCTTTATCCACTTTTTCTTTGATGGACATCGAAACATGCTTTCACTTTGTAGATCCTTTGGCAACTCCAGAATCGGAAATTCTTTTTGACATAATCGAAAGTTCAAGCTTACTTTTATAGAATTGCTCTAACAGTCTGCAAAAAATAATAAGCCGGATCCAATTCAAAGATTAAGGAACAATGCAATCTGCAACATTAACTGAAATAGATAATTGGATAATTTTAGCTTAGCTTATACCGTCTGTTATACATTAAACGCACATGCGTAAACACATATGCGCATGCATAAATGCATTGTGCGTTTACGCATGCGCAGAAAGTTTGTAGCTTATAGATCATTCCGGATTATGGACGTCCGGAATAAAGACTTTTGACTGTAGAAGATTGTACAAAAGATAAATGAGAGTAAATAAATAAAGCAATGATAAAATACAGGAAAAGCTGAGAGTTAAAAATAAAAATTATTGAGTTATACCAATGACAAACAGTCAACTAAGAAATGAAATTATACAAGTTTAACTACTATGGAATTCAGTTGAAATTATTTCGATAAAAAATTAAAAATTGACGAAGCCCAGCTAGAGCACAACTAAATTTAAGCTCTACCTTTGGAGTTTGGGTTCAAAAGTTGTTTAAATCCTACTCACTTAGTTAAGACCGAAATCTGATATCTTAAATTGCTTAAGTTACCCACCTCTTAATTTCAGTACAGCTATCCGAAAAATATATTAATTTAAAGGGAATAAAATGGTAAAATATATCTAGCAAATAAGTTTTCAGTAACCGGCTTTGTTTTATCTATTAGCAATAATATAAATCAATCAATTTTGTTAAAAAAATTAGCGAATTTGTACAATTTTTTTAATTTTAATGTTTACAGATTAGTTAAAAAGAAATTCAAATTAAAATTTGAAGAAGGCTTATAGAATTATTCCATTGACATCTAATGATTTAATTTTACTTCAAAAACATAATATATGCAGAAATCTCTAAATTTTAGTCATTTATTTCAATCCCTTATTTTCAGTTTTTCTTGTAAATTTAGGCTGGAATCACCATTAATGCATAACTTAAAATATAAAAATCATCAGAAGAGAAAACTAACGATAAAATTTGGTTTTGCAATTTGAGATCAAATGTGTGGACGGTTCTGGAGATAAATCTTAGCTCATTTTAGATAAGAAGAGTTATAAATAACAGCAAAGAAAATGTTGGATAATTAATTTCGGCATAGCACACAAACTTAAGAAAAGGCTTCGCAAAATGGAGCTATGCTTAAAAATGTTTTATTAGAAATATATTTCTAAAGGATAAAATTGATTTTTTTTTTTTTTTTTTTCAAATTTTCAGTGTTGATGTTAAATCTTAAATTATTATTTTCACTATTTGGAAGACTCTGAAGCATTGATAAGTGTTTCAATGGTTCTGTAGTTAAACCATCAAAACTAGTCTTGCAGAATTTACAAACATAACGCTCATTCTTCTTGTTTGATTTCTCCAATAAACATATGTTACTTAAGATTCATAACTATAAATGGAACTTAGTACACATGTTGAACATAACAAGACAAAATTTTCAATCTTCAGAGATGAAAATTTCACTGTTAGCAACTTCTTAGTGCAGAATGCATCATAACAATCATTTATCCTTTTTCAGATGTGTGTGTGGGGGGAGGGAGTTGATTATTTTATCACTTTTCTTAGAAAGAGAGGGAGTTTGTTAGGATTATTGGCAATCTGCAGTTTCACTAAATATGCCAAAAACAGAATCTGTTTCTATCAGTTATCAAATGATTGATGTGTATCCAGTGTGATTTTTAAATAAAGATTTAGAGGTGAAATATTCTTTCCCAAACCTCCCCTTACTAAATCAGTCTTCTTATGTCTAAAGTATCTATAATTCATTTTTAAATTTCTAAATTATAAATGGTATTAATGATAGAACAATATCCTTCAGCAGATAGATATGCTTTCTAGCATATCTAGTGTTCTAGTCTCTTAAGCTGTGTTCAGACGTGGGCGTAAAGCGCATAGAGGCATAAAATCCAGGACATCTGTTCACACCTGTGAGACAGGGGTCTAAGCTGTGGGCAATGAGAGAAGTTAAATTTTTGACGTGTGGATGTGTCTACACCTGTCGCACACTGTCTTCTAGCTCAATTGATTTCTCGCCCTCGCTCTGCTCATTTTCGTTATTTTGTGTAATGGCTTTTTCAGCTCAACATAAAGTTTTACTGGTTCAACAGAATGCTCTTTTATCTGCCCTTCTTATAAGCCAAGAGGCAACGGAAGAAGGTAAAAAAAAGAAAAAGAAATGGTCTAGAGTATTTTTTTGAAAGACCAATACTTGGTTGGCACATATCTTTCTGTGCAAAGCAGTATGGAATATTTCTGCATTGTACTGTGGTACTCTCTATACTATAAACATGCACATGCATATTTATATATGTAAAACCTCCTTCAATTTTTGTATATAATTTCTCTTAGGAGAAATACGATATTCTAAATATGCCTAATTAAAAAAATCTTGAGGATAACTAATAGAAAGCCTGTAATTATATTTGCAGGTGTGAAAGAGTTAAGCTAAAACAGTATTTACCAATACATTATTATTATTTTTTTTAAATTTTCAATCAAAAGAGCATGTTCTGTGACAGTAAAACATTCTGTGCTTAGCACTCCTTATTTACTGTCACTGTCGATCACTACTATAGTAAGTTTAGCCTGCACTACCAGTATAAACTTATCACTAGTACTAGTATCCCAAAACTGGTCAACATAACCAGCAACCACAACTAGTATAATACTATGAAACGTTCACCCAACAATGTATTTATTACAATCAGTCATTAAAGGATTTTGCTATGTTGCCAGCTGTTTGTATACATCTATTTTTAATAATTTGCATGTATAAGCCACACCCTGAATTTAATTTCAACATATGCTGTCATTTCTATTTACGACCAAATCTCAAAAGTAATTTCACATTGACAAATTTTAGGTACCCAAGTCTTCAAATACATCAGAATTATAAACATTCATACTTTAGCCAGGAATTACTATTCATACTTTAGCCAGAGAAGTAGCATGAATTTAAGATCAAAACTCATTCAAATGATAGTAATAAAGAGTGGATAATAATAACAAATACTATTCATTAAATTAAGTCCATGTTATGAATTATGTGTGCTATTCAGTTTCATTAAAAGTAAATTCCTTTCATGAAGAACGTAATTAAAAAACAGAACAGAACTTCAACAGGAGACAAAACTGTCTAGACTGTCGACTGTTGTTTTAAGGATATTTCACTACATTTTTTTTCCTTTCTTGGACATCATAAGAGCATTTTCTCAAAAGACTTTAATTTTTATTACTTACACAAAAGCTTACACCATTTGAATTGACTATTGTGACTATTCTTAAATAAAGTGAAAATATTTTTTTCTTTTTTTTTTTTAAGTAATATTTTTACTGTTAAAAAAAAAAAAAAAAAAACGATTCTTGATATTGATTTGATGTTTTAGTAAAATTAATTCACGAAGTTTGTTTGGAAAGAAAATCAGCATTTGAAGCAAATAGCAATACAATATTTCCAGCTTTTTTAATAAATTTATTCTTAAATACAAAAATAATTAAACAGAAAAAAAATTATGATAATAATTTTAAAAAAATTATAGACAGAAAGAAAGTAATAATAATAATTTACACAGAAAAAATAAAATTTTTGCAAGCATGTATTTTTTAAAGAATTTTCATAATAAAATGAAAAATATTGGATGGGATCAATCATCTACAGGATCATACACAGCATGCATAACCTGAGCTTAACTTTCACTTTAAGAGTTTCATCCATATTTTTCAATATAAATTGAAAAACTCATTAAAAAATGCATGTCATCATCGTAGATTTCTTGCGAGATCAACTCTTTATTTTGTTCGGATACGATTACAATTCATTATTTTGTTCGGATAAGATTACAACTCATTCGGTACGATGTGTTCCATATTAAAAAAAAAAAAAAAGCCCGCCTTCGATGTGACAGCGAAATCGTCTAAAGAAAGCCGCTTTGTTTTAGCTTCGCTCTGATTGGTCGATGCTTATCCCAAACTCTGGGTAAAGTTGAAAACTTGGAACCCTATGCCACGAGCCCTAACACATAATTTGCTTATGCATGCACGTAATACCTTCACGCATGTGCGTTTAATGTATAACGAACGGTATAAGCTAAGCTAAAATTATCTAATTATCTATTTCAGTTAATGTTGCAGATTGCGTTGTTCCTTAATCTTCGAATTGGATCCGGCTTATTATTTTTTGCAGACTGTTAGAGCAATTTTATAAAAGTAAGCTTGAACTTTCAATTATGTCAAAATGAATTTCTGATTCTGGAGTTGCCAAAGGATCTACAAAGTGAAAACATGTTTCGATGTCCATCAAAGAAAAAGTGGAATTGCTCCAAAAAATGGATAAAGGCATATCCTTTGTTTTTCTAACCATCCCGAAATCTGTTTATCAATTTCAACGCTGCTCTGCGGGGGTGGGGGAAACGTCGAGGCGCGCAATGAACTGGAAGTTGATCTGTCAGCACTATCCTTATCTTCAGGGCAGATGTTTTTATTTTCGGCTTATATTACTAAATGTAATATTTCATCTCGATGTAATCCGTCTTTGATATGATTTAAATCAAATTCCTCGTCATTATAAATATCATGAATACACATCAAATAGTTTTCTGGTTGCAATTTTCTAATTTCGACTATGCGTAATGTATGCTTTACGCATGCGCGCGCTGAAAGAAATGTTCAATAAAGTAAAAAAATAAATATTAAGCTTTTTTTTTTTTGTAAATTTTTATACCCTTTAGATCATAATTGCTCTTTATTTCATGAATTACGGTTTTATATTTTTAATTTTATAATTTTTGCATGCCATCTTACTAGATTTAAATTGATGATCTATAATCCGGAAAAACCGATAATCCGGAATCTCCGAAGTCCCGACGAGTTCGGATTACAGACTTTTGACTGTAATAAGAAGAAGCAATAATGTCTTTTACAACTGTGAATTTATGTTAAAAGTTATGTAAAATTGATTCATTTAAATAAATAAGTTATTCTGCATTTTGAAAAGATGGAAAATCTCCATTCACAAAATTGTTAAAGCAAAATATTTAATTGTATTTTATATTATTCTAACTATTATGCTGAATTTATTCAGAATAAAGGTCGAGGTGACCCTGCTGAGGAGGGCAGGGAATTTTCTTCGGAGGATAAGTTAAGGGCAAAACTGCCCAGTATTTTAATTTGGTTAATTAGTTCTTCTGGTTCTTTGATTTTTACTTAGTTTTACTGGTTTGCCAGAATTGGCAGTACAGTTTGTAAGTTGAGTTTAGGTTACTTAACCAGATGATAACTTCATGAAATTTTTATATTATTTGATATGGATTCAATGTGTTTTGTGTGTATAAAAATCTCTCTAAAATGTTCTTCTTTGTAGTGAAATTCAATACAAGAACATTAAAGATGAAATCAGAGTGAAAATTAGCTTCCAGAAATACATCTAACATTCCTCATTCCATGTTTAAAAAATTATACCTTTCATTTCATTTAATTTAGATTTATTCCATAGTTTGTATATATTTATCAATATAGTTTCCTAATTTTGAAAATAGGAATCAGGTTTTTATTACACATAAACTTTAATCCCTTTTTGCAAAATATAAAGATATGACTATGTTACTTTTATACATAATCAAAAATCTTTAACTAGTTACATTACCTGAAACACCTTCTTCATTAACACCAAGTATAAAACCAAAAATAATAACAATGCAACAGGCAAGAGCTTTAAGTGACACTCTTAAATGCAAGACAGTGAATGTGAGTATCTGAAATATAAATATGAAAGATAATGTAATACAGCTACTTTAAGTAACCTTAAAAAAAAAAAAAAAAAAAAAAAAAAAAAAATTAAAAATTAAAAACAACTATTTCTTTCCTCACTCCACTAGAGCTTAGTAATAATTTTTTTCACTGAAATTTCTTCTTTTATAATAGCTAACAACATGATAAACCAGGAGGTTTTCGTGCCAAAAATCAGAGTTTCCAGGAGGTTTTGTGCTGTGCAGCGGCAACATTTTAAAAGAAAGTTAATTTTAAGTCATTATATAATGCATGATTCAGTTTACTGAACTATTTATGATATGCTTCTTCTATAAAATATATTAATATTTAATTTACATATTTCAAATTTTATGCTGTTTGGCTAATTTCATTACAATTTTCTTACACTTTTATACTAAGAAAATTCTGGGTAGAGAAGGAAAACTTTAATTTATCAAAGCACTTTTATGCAAATAATAATTCATTAATAATTAATTAATGTACATACAATTGTGTGGTAACAGTAATGTAATTTATAATAATGTAAAACAAAATTAAACATGAATATTTACTGATAAAACATTTGGTTGAATCTTCATAGACAATTCTATATATGTCTACAGTAGATAAAGAAAATTCAGATCAAATAAAATTTAATAAGAAAAATTATGTTGAAGATTGTGGAGAATGAAACTTAAACTGTACAAATTTCATTCAATTCAATAATTAAACTTAAAACTATTTTCATTTATTAATTTTCTCTGCACTGTTAAATTAAATAGTGCTGAAAAACACTTTCATTAAAATATTAAAAACTGGGAGATTTGATTATATACCAGGAGATAAGTTGAAAAAACAAAAGATTTGGCAGCTATGCTATATGAATATATATCAAAATAGGATCCAAAATAACCCAATCTAGGCTTAGCACTATTTCAGGGGATTCATTTTCCTTACATTTACAAAGGAAAACATTTTTGTAGGAAAGTACATAATGATTCTAAGGACCTCCCTTCGGACATGACATAGTTAATTACATAAGCCTAGACTAGGTAGTAATAAAGCTCCGATTAAAATCTAATATAAAGTTTAAAAAAAGATTAAATGAAAATTAGAATGGATAAAAGCAGAATGCATGATTCTCCCCTCCCAGATTTTTCTTATATGTAATATAAATATGATCTAGCTCCCTTAAAATAACCTTTCCCTATGCAGATATTAGCTCTAGTACACTTTGGTGTATTCAAACTCAGTTATTGATTGGAACTAATTATATACACTGTATCCAACAGAAAACTCACTATAAAGAATTTTTTTTAATCATTTTCTTTAGACATAAAAATCCATACACTGTGAAAATGAAAAGATGCTTGACATGCTACCCCAAGCCTAGAAATGCATGCCATTAAACATAATCAGCCGCTACATACACACAACACATATATAGAAGCACCAGCATGGAGCCAACTAACATATAGAAAAGATCCATCGTTTGCCTACTGTGCAGATTTGTATTGATTTCTGCAGTAACACTGTTGGTCATAGCTGCCTGGGAGACCTACCCAATGAAATCAAGTGAGTTGCAAAAAGAATGCATTACCACTTTCAAGAAAGGAGAATGGTCCCACAGCTGAACAACTAGGCATGAGCGTGGAGCAATAAAATAGTGAGACGATGCTGTCAGTTAGGAGCAATATAATAGTAAAACGATGCTGTCAGTTAGGAGCAATAAAATAGTGAGACGATGCTGTCAGTTAGGAGCAATAAAATAGTGAGACGATGCTGGTTCCAATAAGCCATCTATCAGATGGCACAGGACCATGGAAAACAACTTGATGCATTGACACAGCCATCATATACGTTGCCATAATCCCACTAAAAGCTAAACTTTCCATCATTTGGAAGAATTGTGTCTGGATGTCTGATGTCATAAAGAACCATCATACATCGAATAGCAGAAGGTGGATTGCATTACTAGTATCCCTAATGCTGTTATCACATACGATATTTGTTGCTGGAACAAAACATTTTCAGGAACGGTTCTGAGAATCGCTCTTCTGCGAAATCTGGTTACCATCTTCACTTGGTAAACAGGCTGAAAACCAAACAAGAATCAGTTATCGCTCAGATTGGCGAAAGTGACGTTTGCTTCTTCATTTTGTTTTGTATCGCTCACACTCTTTTCGTTTTAAACTTTTATTGTCAGTTATGGAAGATAATAGAAAAGTGATTGCTATCAAGTTAATCACTTTGATCTCCACTCTGGCACTTCAAATAACAGATGAACACACTTCTGGTTATAGCAATCAATTACATCAGTAATATCCAAATTCTGTATACACTAAGACTAGTTTAAAATGTGTGCTGGATAAGTCTATTTATCAGACATTACTTATGTGTATTTTCTGTTGTCTGCATTCCAATGAAAATTTGTGACCTGGTGAGAAAGCATTTTCTTGACTAACTTTATGGCTCATAATTACTGTTCTGTCTATAAGTATAAACACACAAACAGACAAAAAAAAAAAAAAAAAAAAAAAAAAGACCTTCTATGACAAAAATTTATATAGCTGATATTTACATCCTCACAGCCAGCAGATACTATTCAGCAAAATGAAGATTAAATAAAGCATATGAATACATGAGCAATCAAACATGTGCGAGTTGTTTACTGTCCCATAGAACACTCGGCAATATACCTAAAACATATTAATTATACCAACTCTAGAAATTAGGAGGTGTACATCATGAGTTTATTTTGTGTGATTACGGCAAAGCCTCGAGGGATATCTGCCTAAAGGGAGGGATCCCTTTGTAGATTTTTAAAACTGGCTTCTATACCAGTTACAAATGGGGTAAATGAAGAAAACGCCCATGTAGCCAGCCCGTTTGCAACATTCTAACCTCAGACAGAACTACCAGTGTTCAACGATGCTTCAGCCAATAGTAGACCCATGCACATAATTGGAACGTACAATTCATTATGTAAACACACAAGACGATAATCAGTTGTGCACTGTTTTAAGTAATCAAATGCACAGCTGTTACATTTCTTATTCTTTCTTAGTCTTTATATTACGTAGATTATACATATGATATAATTAAGAATTAACCCCAAAACAAAATGTGTATACTCTTTAATACTCAAATGCTTATCAATTATTTTTCAACTGATTATTACATATCCATAATAATTTGCAAAGAACTGTTTGCTACAGTTGCTGCCAATTACATGATCATTATATGAATTAGAAGTAACTTCAAATAAACTTTTTGGCAATGTTCATTTTTGTATTCATACATACATATATACACATCTAATAAGTCATATATTTACATACAGATAGAGAGATGCTGTAAACAAATCCGAACTGCAAGAACGTCGTAAAATACTGTCAACTCTGAAATTTCCATGATTGTACATTTAATGAATATATAAACATTTTTAAAATGACACAGGCAGTTATATTACAACAAAACAGCAATAATTAAATCAGCCTCTATTTCCATCGTCCACGACTTCACAGTGAGAGCGATCGCCATATTGAAAGTTACCCGTGATCCTTTAGAAGCAGAACTTTCGTCTGGTTGGCTGAATGTACGAGGAACATGTCTCCAGACGGAACATTTTCGGGAACGTTTCAAAATGTTGCTCATAGCGGGAAATGTTCCGCCTAGCTAGATGAAACATTTCTCAGAAGCCTCCCGCTTAAAGCAGTGCTACTAGAATCTCATTTCTTGGAATTGTCCCATGTAGCCGTACGTGTCCCTAGAAGTGATAGCCTCTTTAGGATGTCCATTAATTTCACCCCTCAGCAGCAATGTTTACTGTGCTCTCGTGTTATGTTAAGTGGAAAGTAGCAATCTGGAATTGTATCATTGTCCTCACTTTACTCACATGACTGCAGCATTTACATATGTGAGAGGCCACAATAATGCTGTTCAATTCATGTTGCGATGGAGTATCATACTTCCATCATGCTTGGCATTACCTTGTGGGATGTCATTATGCAAGATAACCAGTCACCTTCAATTCATCCTGCACACCACCCTGATCGGCCAATGTTATATCAACAACATCCTTTGGCATTACATAATACCCATGCTGTCAGGCCTGTTAGACACTATTTTTCATCATAATAATGCCTGTCCACACACAGACACATTGCTATGATATTACATAGCAACTCTTCCAAGGCTGTCCTGATCACCAGATTCCTCCTCCATTAACAGATCTGGCACACAGTCAGTCAGATAAATCAGCTCTAATCATTGCAAAACTTGTTTAACTCATCTGCCTGATTACCCCAAATCTGGCAGGTCATCTCACAGGACATCATTAAAGATTTGTATGTGTTCATACCAGACTGCATTTCTACATGCATTAATGCCTGAGGAGGCTCTATGCTAATTATCTATAACAATTCTGGGCAGTTTTTGCTGCAATAAATTACTTTACTGATTTTCCATTTATTCTGACATTTTCCTCATCATCCTTTCCACATTAGCAATGTTGGTTGTCATATCGTGGGACTAGATTCGAATCCTGGAGAAGGCATGGGTGTATATTTGTTAACACATCTGCATGGCATGGGTGTGCTTAAAATACTGGCAAGCTGAAAATCCTCTTGAATGGTTTGGTTATATGGGAAGACTAGTAGCAGATTTTCAAATTTCAATACATACTCCATCAAAATTGAGATGAAACTGTACAGTTAGTACATTGAGGTTATACTTATGAGACCAATTGGTGAGTTCTGGAGTCCCATCCACTTCTTCCTGTCCAGTCTCTCCTTGACTCATTTCATCATCATGCACTGCTTTTTCCTAAGTGCAAGGAGTTTTTTGCAGCACAATGTAATTATTTAAAGCTTCCAAAAAAGGCATTTACTAACTAAACATTCCTATCAGATTGCAGATATAAATATTTATTTATTTATATTTCATTATGTTTAACCTAGACAATTTTAAAATGCACCTGATTCAGAAAATGATTTTTTATTATATTGCTATGGCTTTCAGTTTGTTTCTTTTTCCTTTGCAAAAGCAATGATCATCAATATGCTGGTTACTAGAGAGCATTTTATTTCAATGAATCGAAATTTAAATTAAATATATTGAAATCAATGCATGAAAATGGAAATTTATAACAAGTGGAGTTATAAACTCTGAAATCAAAATTTGTATTTCTAGAAAGTTGAAATATGAATAAAAGTTTAAAACTGCTATTTAAATTTCCTGCATTTAGTACTGAACGAAATATATCTGGATTTTTCTTGCAGAAAAATATATACAATTTAAACCAACTGCATGGATAAATTCAGTCTTTTAAAAATGCCGAAATTTAAAAATTATATTCATATGGTTATTGAAATAAGTAAATACTCACAACATTAAACACAGTGGTTAGTGATCTTCCAATATAATAAAATGGGACACCCACAAATTTAAGGCACAAATTGTTGAAAGTTATCATGGCAACAAAAATTATGGATAAAGGAAGAACCTAAGGAAAGAAAAAAAAAACATCAATTTCTTTAAATAAATTTTCTGAAATATTTATTAAATTTTTATAATCCAAAAGCAGACAAGAAAGTGAACAAATATGTCTCTTTAAAAAAGTAAAAGAGAAAAAACTTCAGCCCTCAAAAGCGTATGCCATATTCATAATATTAATATTCTAAAAAATACATAAATATATAAGCATTACCAATGAATTACAGTACTTGCATATTATCATAACCATCTTGTTGCAATTTGCGATTTGATACAGAAGATACATAATGATGATTTATAATTGAAAAAATTGTTTACCACATATATATTTTACATTTTTATTAGGTATTTAAATTTCAAAAATAAATTAAACACTTATTCCATGCAAGTTTTTTTTTTTTTTTTTTTTTTTTTTTTTTGTTTTTGTGTGTGGTGTGTGTGTGTGTCTATGCTTGAGTGCGTGTTTGTCAGTGGAAATTTGGTGGTAATTGTTTAAAGAACATATTCAAAACAATTATTTCTAATGACTGTGTTATAAAATATGACATTCCAGCACAAATATAGTATTTCATCCACTGTATGCAAATCCCACAATAATACATTTGAAAGTTGAAGTTAAGCTAAAAAGCATTGTGATTTGTCTACAAAAATAATTGTAACTTAGAATATTATAAAAAGACCATATACTTAAAATGGTAATACAATGCAAAGTCCGTAATCCGGATGTCCATTATCTGTAATGATCTATAATCCGTACCTCAAAGCCACAAACTTACGCATGCGCTTTTAATGCGTGCTTCCGCAATGCATGCGTGTAAAGCGTTTACCCATGCGATACTGAAAAAAGTACTACTTCAGTATACTTCCGATACTGAAAAAAGTGACAGAGAGGTATTTCGATTGACAAGTTAGTCGGTATTCTCGACATAGCAAATTACAGGACTTGAACAGTAGAACTTTGTAACTGAACAAGAAATTATGTCTGTTTATAGACATAAAGAGAAAGTATTAGCACAAAAAATGGAGCAACTTAAACAACTTACATTGATATAAATGTTTACTAAAGTAAACAAATAAATATTAACCTTTTTTTTTTTTTTTTTTTTTTTTTTTTTTGTAAATTTTGATAACCCTTCAGATAATAATTGCTCTTTATTTCATAAATTGCGGTTTCATATTTTTAATTGCATAATTTATGCATGCCATCTTACCAATTTAAATTGATGATCTATAATCCAGAAAAACCCCTAATCCGGAACCGCCGAAATCTTGAACAGTCCGGATTACGGACTTTGTATTGTATTGCTTGTAACAACTAAAGAATTTTTATACATATGGTTACCAGAATTTGGCCCATTTTTAAAATTCTGTGACTTCTACTAAGTACTTGTGCTAGTATACAAGTGCCTGAATGTCTAATTTTGAAAAACATACTGATTTGAACTTAAAAATGAGGATATATTCAACCTTAGATTAGCATTATTTTTAGAAAAATCCTTTAAGCATTTTGAGGTATCTTTACACTGGTCTCCCTCTCCCTCAAGAAGAAAAATATCTTGCAACTCATATACAATTACATGTTATTTATTCTTCTAATAAAGTTCTAAATGCAGGAATCTGTAAAAATGTAGGAATTTCAGTTTATAAATAGTTACTGTATTAAAAATAAACTTCTTCAAAACTTAAATATTCATTTAAATATTTCATATTAATTATTTTAAAAATATTTTTGTAACAATAATATGATTCTTTCCTAATAAGCACATTTTTTAATTAAAAACCTTGCTTATAATCTAGTTTCAAAATACTTCTAGCCCCACATTGGGAGCTAGATGAAGGGTCACTACTGATCTGGAAATTGAAGTTAAGTTCTGCAGACTCTAGTAGATAAGATAAGACAGTGAGTTATCAATACGTCTTAACAACCCATAAAATATTATATAAATTGACTATAAAGGGCACAATCTACAGACAAACCATCACTTGTGGTTATTCAAATTAAGCAATAGCAGACAATTAAATTCAAACACTTGTAACATACTAAAACACTATACATTCAATAAGAAATCAGCTGGTTCAGTATTTTACTGGTGCATGAGTTTAAAACAATCAGCTAGTGAGCATGCAAAGGCCCGGAATATCACTTTAAAATAAATCTGGTGAAAAACTAACAACAGACGCACGTGCTAGAAGTTCTTTCTCTCTAAGATTCAAAAACATCACCTAAAATACAGTTACAGCTAATATGCATTCTGGTAAGGAATACAGAAAAAAGTTACAAAATCATAATAACTGGTTAATTAACATAAAATATATTACACGTATTCCTGAAATTTTGTTAGGGCTTCGAAAATTTTCATTTTTTCCAGGCAGGGCTTTATGAATATATTATTTACACAGAAGTTTTGTTTTATTAATGAGATTTTACAAAAATGTGGATAGCAATATTTGTACCGTAACCATGCGAAACACACAATGCAAAATATTTAAACAGAAAGAACTGATAAATATACTGCCAGGACTTGAAGCCATGCCATGTTAAAATAAACAAACATCTTATTACTTTCCTTATATTAGACAATATTATTATGTATCATGAATAAATGCCAAAATTTCAGGTTGTCACTCATAAAATGTTTTCAGCTTTAAAAGGATGTAAAATATGTTAATCAATAAGCATACCATATACTGAAATCTTGGCAAAGACTCACGTCGTAAATATGTTAGGTTTAATAAAATTTAAACATAATACATCCATACTTTACAAAAAGGATAAATACAAGTCACTAAATTTTTTTTTTTATTATAGACCAACTGCCAGACAATTTTTTTTTGCAGAATGATACATGCACCAACATTTCCTACATGTGTTCCATCATGTGATGTTCTTATAACATTTTTCATTTTTTCAAAGGAAGTACTGCCAAAAATAATTCAGAATGTGTTATTTTATTTCCTTCTTTGCTCGCTGAAATAACTAAAGATATATATATACTGAATGTTTAAAAAAATTATTACAGTTGATATGTGCTAATGGAAAAGTATGTCTTGCGTTAAATTGGCATATATATCTTGCTAATAAAAATTGTACATGCACATGTATTATAACAGAAATGATGTAAAATTTTAAAAAATTTCCTTAATATATAAAGCACTAATTATCAATTTTTATGTATGAAAAAAATCTTACAGATCGTAGTATATTAGTATTAAGATGGATGTCAGGGAATGTGAATATAGATGGCAGAACTGATGTCAGAACCCTTAAAATTAAACATAAAAACACAGTCACTGCACACTGGAAACAAGTAATGAACAATGGAGCATCAATCTGTAAGAGAGGGAAAAAAACTTGTTAGGTACACATATAATACGCAGCAAAATTTTTTATTATGGTTTATTTAATAATGTTTAATTATATTAATTTAAATTAATTTTAAAACATTTATTACATCTTAGTCAACAAATTTCGATACTCTTCTGTTATAGAGACCAGGTCCAGGAATTTGTGTATGTATGCATGTATGTACAGATGGCTATACCTGTTCAATGCATGCGTGTATACATGTACATACATATGTATGGCTGTATATACTATGCATATACATATATATGAACTTGCACAAGTCATGCAACATAGATTGATCAACAAATGACACAGAGTAGAAAAGTTATTATGAGAGGGGAATATCCAAATTAGAAATGAATTAAAAGCCTATTCCTAAATTAAATTATAAAAGCTTGTTTACATATTTTTCCTGCATATATATATAACTACCGGTCCCGATAATAGAAGAGTACCGATATTCTTCTCTTTAACAAACACTAACTACCAATGTATGTGTCCTCTTCAGTAATTACAACAGGATTATAAAAATATTTATAATAAAACATAATTCCCCTAACCATCATACATAAAATTTTCTAAAAAACTGTTAAGAAGCTTGTGACCTGATTTTTTGGATTAGAATATGAAAGCTCACATAAACCTGTAGCTTTGCAGCATGAAAATATGAAGGTTGCCAGATGAAAAGTAGACCAGTTGAATAAAGAGAATACTTTTATTGGAAATCAAAAGAAATTGCCATGGGTGTTGCAACACAGACCCCTTCGTTTTGGCAGTCAGCCTATGCTTTTGTAAGAAAAAGAAGTTCGTGGTTGATTCCTGAGGAAGTTCTAAACAGCTTCCTTCGCTTCATTGACTGAATGAAAATGTTCCCCCTGTGATACTCTCTTAACCCTTTCCGGACGGGCATCCCATATACGCATTTCCTAAGAACATCTCTTACAGCCGAGCGTCCCATCTACGTATCACTAGACACTGCATTCAGAGGACGGGCGATGTGTACATGCATTTTAAGCTGGAGTGTTTTTCTGAAGACCACTAGATGGCATCCTGTGTCCATTACTTTTGAAATGAACACAGTTTTAGGTTCCTGACCTTGAGTTTGAAATATTCTGCCTGACTTAGGTATTTTACTTATCAACTGTTGTGAGGGGGGAGTAAATAGAAACGAGCTCTTTAAATTGTCATATGCTAACATAAACATTCACGTGTCTGATTTATATTCAATTCCTTTTTTATTCTATTTTTCCCTCTACTTGGTGGTCTTTTAGGGTTACTATGTGGAGTTCTATTACATTTTGCATTGCCTTCAGACATATTCCGGGTACTTCTCTTTTTATTTCATTGGAAACTCACAATTCATGTGAGTCACTTTGATTCACCTTAATTGTCATTTAATAATAATTCACCTTCATTCCAGCATCTCATATGTGACTGACATTAGGAAATTCCTTAAGAATTTTAGCTTTTATAGACAACTCTAGATTTCTCATCTTTCTAAGATTTCTACCTGTTTTCAATATATTTTGAGAAGTGATTATGCATTCTTTCAAATAAATTTATTCACTTAGAATGTTTAATTATTTGGCAACAATCAGAAATATCCTTTCCAGAAATAAATGTTTTTTAAGTACAGTACAAAGTCCGTAATCGGGATGTCCATTATTCAGAATGATCTAAAATCCGGACCTCAAAGCCACAAACTTTTTTTTTTGTATGCTTTACGCACTGCACGTAAAGAATGCGCATACATTATGCGCCCTATACTTCCACAGTCATAACACCTTGGTTCTGTACTCTTATTTGGTATAGCGTGTACTTTATTTTGTGTGTTAGTATTTGAAAAACCCTTATTCTTTGTATCTGGAATGTGGATTTTCTCATAATTTTTTTTATTTCTCTTTGAATTCAGAAATAGTTTTACACCCATACAAAATAATTTAGTTACTACTCTGATCCGGTATCCCATTGATTACATAATCAAGAATTGATGAATCATCAACAGAACCGCGACTGGCTATTTCACGCATGAGCAGTTAAATATTCGGAAAGGGATTCACTAGGTTTTAAGTGTCATTTCAGTTCAGACATAGTCTAAATGAACCCCATTTTTTTCTACTTAGCACACTATTACTTCCGTAATCAGAACAGCTTGGCTTAATGATTTGTTTTTCTAACCATTCCGAAATCTGCTTATCAATTTCACGCTGCTCTGCAAGGGGGGGGAGGGGTCACGGCACATAATGAACTGGAAGTTGATCTGTGAGCATTATCCTCATCTTCAGAGCAGATGTTTTTATTTTATTTATTTTATTCGGCTTATAATTCCTTACTAAATGCAGTATTTCATCTCGATGTACTCGGTCCACAGTACAAACTTTTTTTGATTTAAATCAATTTCCTTGTCATTATAAATATCACGAATACACATCAAATAGTTTTCTGGTTGCAATTTTCTAATTTTGACTATGCATAATGTATGCTTTACGCATGTGCGCATTGAAAGAAATGTTTAATAAAGTAAACAAATAAATATTAAGTTTTTTTTTTGTAAAATTTGATATGCCTTAGATCATAATTGCTCTTTATTTCATAAATTACGGTTCCATATTTTTAATTGTATAATTTCTGCATGACATCTTACCAGATTTAAATTGATGATCTATAATTCGGAAAAACCCCTAACCCGGAATCGCCGAAGCTCTGACAAGTCAGGATTACGGACTTTGTACTGTAATGCAATAAAATAAGGGAAGAACTCTGGGCAATGATATAATCATCAAAGCGTAAAATATTTTTTTGAATTAAATATGATTTAAATTTCTGAAAAATGATTCTAATATTAGTTACAAATGGAAATAATTAGCAATAAAGAAACTTTGAAGCGGTATGATATTGCAGCAGTTTAAAAAAAGAAACAATTTTCTGAGATTTTGATCAGTACAAAGTCCGAGATCTAGACTCAACGGGACTTAAGCAATTCCAGATTTGGGATTTTTCTGGATACTAGATTATCATAAATTTAGTAAAATGACATGCCGAAATGATATAATTAAAAATATGAAATCATAATTTATGAAATAAAGAGCATTCATGATCTAAAAGGTATTAAAATTTACACACACACACACACACACACACAAAAAAAAAAAAAAAAGAGAGAGGAGAGAGAGAGAAAGAGCTTAATATTTATTTGTTTACTTTATTAAAAATTTTTTTTCCCCAATGGCAGATTGTGAACAATTACAAATGTAACCTAGTCCATTAATCTATACAAGGTCACATGTGGTGGTCTCTTTACTATGGAGGCACCTAATACTTGTGAAATGAATTTTTTTTCATTTTCAATAACCTCTCTGCCACTTTCTTCCCTATCAGTAGCAGTATTTTCCGGATCTAAAAGCATACTACAGATTTTGCTGTCCGTTAATTGACTGATGATGGAGCATTGTCATTGCAATGAAAAACTTCTGTTATAATATCTTCATTTATTACCGCTTCACCACATTTCTTTACAAAAGCCATTAACTTGAAAATTTCACCTTTGGTTTGCGATATCCAAAAACCTTAAATTCATGGCTATCATCATCCTCACCATGAAATATGGTAGATGGCCATAAATTATGCCAAGCATTTTTTATAGTATCTGCAGATACATCCTCCCACGATCTTACGATGTTCCACACAGCAGATTTTATGCTAAAATATTTTTAAAAAATCTTGAATAGTCTTGCCATTGTTCAAGAAATTTAACATGGATTTTGAATATGCTACTTTACATTTGCATTTCAGCATGTGCACTATTCCAACATATATAGGCTGAATGATGGACATACGATTTGAAGGAAAGAATAATACAGATACATTATCTTTCACTAAAACTTTAAGTGAAGTATGAGCCGAACAGTTATCTACAGTAAGGCCTATTTTTAAGTCATCAAATGGGGAAAATTGTTACTCCTTTAAATTCTTGAGGTCGTGTATGTTTTCCGATTATGTATTTCCGATTTTCGCCCTTGTGTGTTCCTGTAGCATTTGCACGCACTAAAATTGTTAGTCTCACTTTGGAATAGTTCAGCAGCTTCAGTATCAGCAGAAGCATTTTCACCTGAAATTTTTAATTGCCTTATACCATGATGATTTTTAAATTTGGTTAGCCAATCTGTTGAATATGTGCACTCAGTTTTTCAATTCATTTCTTCATGAAATATTTTGGCCTGAGTTTATTAGCACTGGATCCGTCAATGGCACACCCTCGCTGCAACGCTGTCTGACCTATTTAATCATCACTTTGTCATGATCGTCACTTTTTGCATAACAATTTTTTGTTATCATTGTGAATAGGGTGTCGGAATCCACAAAAATTTCAAGTTCCTTTTTCTTATCTCATATACAGTGGACTTTCCAATGCCATACTCCTCACATAATTTTAAGATGGATATGCCTTTATTCATTTTTTTGCAGTAATTCCACTTTTTGTTAATTGGACATCGAAACATGCTTTTGCTAAGTCAAAGTCGAAACAGTCAAAAGTCGTTAATTCGGACACCCATAATCCGGAATGATATATAATCCGGACCTCAAAACTAAAAACTTTCTGCACATGCGCCGCGTTGACAGATGCGCATAGGCATTTACGCGTGCGCGCAAGACCTTTACGACTGCGCATAGGCGTGTGCACAAGCGCAGAATACGTTTTCGCGTGCGCGTTTAATGTATAACGGACGGTATAAGCTAAAATTATCTAATTATCTAATTCAGTTTATGTTGATGAATGCATTGTTCCTTAATCTTCAAATTGGATCCGGCTTATTATTTTTTGCAGACTGTAAGAGCAATTTTATAAAAGTAAGCTTGAACTTTCGATTATGTCAAATAGAATTTCCGATGCTGGAGCTCCCAAAGGATCTACAAAACGAAAGTATGTTCCTATGTCCATCAAACAAAAAGTGGAATTGCTTCAAAAAATGGATAAAGGAATGTCC